TATACAAAACTACTGAATCATATAAGTACAACTGAATTCATTCTAGAGTGTGCCATACAACCTAAACACTGCTGCTGCTGCTGCTGTTGCATAAAGCACTGTTTATAGACTAAGACCATAAAGATATGGAACAAAAGGTAGGAACATAACAATTAACACTAACTAATTTACCTTTTGACTCTTGACTCGGCTGTCTTTATACTGTCACTTTGTTATAAATACTATATAAAATTTATTTTTATTTAATATTCGAGCGGATCCAGCGTTTTGGATGACCAGTTTACGTACTAGGTCCATACAACCACTAGGGGGCTACGGGGCAGCTCCCGCGGTTTTGGGGGCTCCAATTTTTAAAATTTAAAAATAGTTGTAATTTTAGAACTATATTGATTTCCGAATATTCGCTATCAAGGCAACTTTAAAAATGAGCTAGAAACCAAATTACAAGTGCGTGAACGCTTCGTTATCATTTACTGACTCTCTATCGATCTCCAACGATTGCGTTGACTCGATCACGCAAAAATGGCGGCAAAATTATATCGTAAAATCGATGAGACAAAACATTTCATTTTCAGATTCGAATCTGACGAGGAAACCGGGCCAGATATCGTTATATCTCGAGAACGATGTAGAATTTACAATAAAAAAATGCCATTCTGCATTATGTTTTTTAAAAGAGTAACATACAGCAGCTAGATTTTGTACCTTGTTTTCTCTGCATGTAGACGTTTTCTCTGGAGTCAACCCTAACATTTAAATTTTCGATTTTAATTAAAAATTTAGAGTTAAATATTTTATTTAAATTTTAGATTTTAGGAGTTAAAATTTTAGAGAAAAGTTTTCTCTGGAGGCTGCAACATTTGTTGTCATACGCTGTTATTAAAATCGCCGTTTGACGGAAGTGATCCTAACATAAAAATAAAATCGTGATATTTCTATGAACCAAAATATGCTTTCATTGCATTCTGCATTAGTTTTGGGAAATTCAACCAAGCAATCTTGTGCAGTATCATCTAGTATAGGACAATCTAATCCGCCGCCATATATGTAAATTTGAAAGACCCAGACACTTTAGTTGTAACGTCTATGTTTGGTAACTTGGGTTTTAGTTGACTATTAGCGAAAACGGTAAGCTTTATCCTAAACAAACCGACGTTTCCCTTAACGGTTTCATGTCATTCTTGATTGATATATCAAAGAAATATATTCTATCATTTTTTCGGCCTTCCAAGTCATTTCTTCTTGCCGAAATTGCGCTCGTAACAATGAGCGGGCAACGAATGGCTTCGTATCAGTCGCAGATCGCAAGCACATTAGACATATGATTTATGATTCCAGCGCAAATATATTGTAACGTGAATGGAAAATGCATTTTAGAATATAACACAACCTAAATATACTAAATATATATCTATGTTTGTAACGTCTATGTTTGGTAACTTGCTATTAATATCTGTATATATTTGTATCGCATGCTATATTTGTATATGCTGTGCTGAGTGGTTATATTACTACCTTAAAAAACAAGCAGAAACTCGACGTTTCGAGCTCGAAACGTCGAGTTTCTGCTTGTTTTTTAAGGTAGTAATATAACCACTCAGCACAGCATTTTCACATTGGTACTACCTACACTGGTACAGACAGTTTTAGTATATATTTGTATATATTTGTATTTGTATATATTTGTATCGCATGCTATATTTGTTCATTCACAAAGCTAAATGGTTCACCCTCAATGATATGCACAAACAGCAACTTGTATACCTAGCGTACAAATGCTATCATGAATTATCTCTTCCAACTTTGCAGTCAATCTTTTCGAAAATTGTTCACCGCTACCAACTTTAATAGAACCGAAGAGAACCGAAAAACACTGTAAATTTTTTATTTACCCAACCTCGACATTGGTCAAAATAATGTTTACCCAACCCATGTGTACTGTACTTCATAATAATTAAACACACAAGATTATGGTGACAGAAATCAAGTTGCCTAAATTTTAAAAGCTCACTCGGCTCAAACTCACTGAGTGAGTGTGCCAAAGCAATCAGGAAGGAATCTATCATTGATCAGCAGGAACGTCAATCACTGATGGTCTATTTTGGTACAGAATGCATTGTACACATTTTTCTTCATATTTTACAATGCATGGTAATTTTAGTTTTATTTTATAGCTGACAGACAGCCATAAATGTTTTTACCCAATCCATGAGCTAGTCAAAAACTTGATTACCCAACCCATATCTCTTCGGTACCAACCCCGGGTATAAATTATGGTAAACATTGGTCATGCAGGTCCTGAATGGACAGGTTCACGTGATTCGGACCTGAATCCAAGTAACTCAAATCTCTAGATCATTAGCTGACCACGTCTGTACGTAACCCGATCCACACGGATAAGTATGATGACGACATATATATTAACTATATTAGCCCAAACTGCAAACTTCAAGAATCAATATTTTCGAAAAAACAAACGCGCTCTTCTTTTTTAGTGGTGTACTTGAACAACAAGGAATTTTTAAAGTAACATAGTTCCATAGTACAAAATCCAGGGCTTCGAGCAGGCTATAGAAAGTGAAACCAACGCAAGTCCTTAATTGCTTATAATGTAATTAAAATAAAATACGCTCCATAGCGTAATAAATTGGACAACATCAATTTTATAAAACGGAATGTTCTCAAAGTTGCATAGAAGGTTATAGATTTTCTTTCTTTGGAAAATCTAGCATGTTTATGCACCTATCAATGTTAACCCCGAGGGAGGGGGGGTCGGGCAAGGAGTTTAGGTTTTTGTCGAGGGTCGAGTGTCGAGGGTCGAGTGTCGAGGGTCGAATGTCGAGGGTGAGGGTAAAAAGTCGAGGGTGAGGGTAAAAAGTCGAGGGTGAGGGTAAAAAGTCGAGGGTGAGGGTAAAAAGTCGAGGGTCGTAAAAAAAGTCGACGGTTGTATTTTTACGACAATTAAGACAACTACTAGCAATAAAAGAGTTTTTAAAACGGTGCTTCTCCTTATGTAACTCATGAATTAAGGGAGAATTCTGGTCTAGAAACTAACTCATTAAGTTGATGGTTTGGGTCGTCTTGTTAAAAAATTTCACGCACGCAGCATGTCTTCTAGCGTGTAATGTCTCCAGGCCACTTTTAATTAAGGCATTTTTAGATAAAAAGGCGGATTTTTTTCATTAAAAGCAAAGTCAAAGAGCATTTATTATCAATATTAACTTAAAAGTCTTAAAAGAATTTCTAAACGTAGTATAATTTCATAAACAGGCCAATGGCAATGTTCAACCTCGCATCAAGCAAAGGTCTCCGTACCGCCGCAGGTGTGCTTGCAAGGTTGGTCAATGACAATGTTTGGCCGTGAGACGAGTAATATTGACTGAATCATTTAGCGTTAATTGGTTTCTAGTTGAAACAGTGGCATGTCTGCACCGCGCTAACCGCGCTCCGATCTAGCAGAAAACCACACAAGTTTTTTTTTTTTATTATAACTTGCTATTTGTAATATAGTTTGCCATTGCCATTACTGGCTTGAGGATTACGCTGCCCGATAATCTATGCTGTTACGTTAATTTGATAAGAAAGCGAAGAGACCGTTCTCATATTAGACATAAACATGTTAACTTGCGAGCATGAAGGGGCTTAGAAAATAATCGCTTAGAAAATTTACGCAAGGTAGTATCTTTTAAAAGTTAATGCAGTTCTGCATACATATATATGATAAGTAAAATAAGTAATTAAACAAGTTATTTTGCCCGCAAATTTCGACCCTCGACATTTTTTATGACCCTCGACATTTTTTATGACCCTCGACTTTTTTTATGACCCTCGACTTTTTATCCTCACCCTCGACTTTTTGACCTCACCCTCGACTTTTTAACCTCACCCTCGACTTTTTACCCTCACCCTCGACATTGGACACTCGACCCTCGACAAAAACCTAAACTCTCGGGCAAGAGGTGGGGATTTGACATTTTTACAAAAAAAAATGTCAAATGCCACTCCCTCGGGAGAAAATTCCTGGGCAAAATTCCCCACCCCCGGGATGAAATTGTATGCCTGAGGTATTTGGTTTCTGGTGCACTCTATATGTCAGGTGATAGGGAAATTACACAAATACATTTGACGGTATAATTTAAAAGTATAACAAATATAAAGAACGTTTCAAAATAACTTAAAATACTCATTAATAATTCATATACCTTGCGGTAAATCATGTCAGCCATATTATGTCACATGAAGTGAGTTTATAATATCTGATAAAACACTAGCCTGTGTTCCAGTCCGCTACACCACGGTGTATTCTTATATTGTCAGTATTCTTATATAATTGTTCGCCCTAATTAGTATTCTTTTGTTGTCGTATTTTAAGTTGTGTGCCTCGCGTTTTATATCTGGTAAAACACACTCGTACTCGTGTTTTAAATAGTATATAATTTGAACTTTTAACATATAAGTATAAATCGATATTAATATAATTATAAAATGGCTTATAAGTGTTTATTTCTTGTCCAGAAATCTCCATATTTCTTGTAAAAACAACGCGCAAGACAGCGAGCGATAAACTAGTGCCCAGTCTTCAGTTCGTTCCTGACCGGCTTCCACAGTCCCTTTTTACAGCGGGCTACTGGGGACGAGTCAGAGTTTGTTCTAAAATTGGCTCAGGTTTCTTCAGTATATCGTCTGAGATCAGTGTTAATCTGCCAAAAATCCCCACCCTTGGGCCACTTAGAAAAAAAGTGTCAGTCCAAATCCCGACCCATGGGATCACCTGATTGATCAAATCCCCACCCTTTGCCCGACCCCCGCCCCCTCGGGGTTAACATTGATAGGTGCATTATATTAGCCTGGATGCAGCTTCAACCCGAATTTAATAAATTCAGGTTGAGGCTGCATGCAGGCTAGGTTTATATATAATATCGGTCTGAACGCGCCCCCTGAAATATAAATACAAATACTAATTACTCAATAATTCGTTTACTTTTGTGTTATCCTCTTAGGCTAAGGTAGACCTTACGAAGAATAAAAGATGGGTGATGCAGCTGGAACAGTACTTCGATTCGATCGACAGTAGATTTTATAATACTGGCCGTTTAACAATCGAGATGTTTGATACATGGTCTGAAAACATGAGGAAACTTGGAAAGGCCCCCGAAGAAGTGATACAGAGCGTATATGAAAGTTCTCGTAATTTCTGGATAGGGGGAGGAATTCTTCCAGGCAAACCAGTGACGAAGAAGGAATTTATCGAAGGCATGAATCGTCTTGCTAACGACGAGCTGGAAAAGGAGCGATTGGGTAAACCGACACTTCACGGCAAGTGTAGTAATGACTTATATGATGCAATGGGATTAAAGAGTGATGATTTCATAACGGTTGAGCATGTAAAGGTTTTCATGAAATGTGTCAACATGGATCCAGACGGAGCTGTAGCTTATTTCGCTATGGCAGATAAGGAGAAAAAAGGGAAAATTTCACGAGAAGATCTCATTAAGTTGGAATTTGGATATTGGTTTCAGCCTGAAGATAGCAATAAAAACATGTTTGGGGGAGCTTATGAAGCCGAATAAGAAAAGCGTGTTTTCCATACACAATTTATAACTGTCAAAACAAATGAAATTATATATGTGGGAATCAAAACCCTCTACTGTCTTGATGTAATACTTTAGAATCCCAATAATGCATCTGATTTGTGAAATAAATTAGGATAATATTTTATATATTGTGATATACTTTGTTGCTGTCGCAGCGAGCAGGCCTGAATTAGCGAGCAAGCAAGACATAGTTATGGCGCGCAGGAGTGACATGCATACCGTATTTACTCGATTGACCGCCGCCCCCGAATGAGCGCCGCATTTGACATCAAATTGTTTTAATGAGCGCCGCACTAATTATTTTCAATGCGACGAATTTACGTCTTCTGATGTCGAAGAGGCATATCCAACAATGGTTACGATACAGCAGTTGGACTCGGATCATGAAGAGGACAGTGACATTGATATTTTGTAAACTTGTAAACAGTGCAAAAACTTCCCGCCGTCAAAATGGGGACATTTAGTGACAAAGACATTTAAAACTTGTTTATTTTATTGTTAAAAGTTCTTTTTATAATTTACAAATAAAAAGCCGCCCCCGAATGAGCGCCGCATCTGAATCTTTGAAAATTTAAAGAGCGCCACGAGTAATTAAATAGGTAAATCCGTGAATACGGTAAATCCGTGTTCCGGAACGATGCTATAGCTGTTCTGGTGTTGCTTGTTCCGGTGTTCTTGGTTTTACTAATAGCCCTTTGCCGCTTGTTGCTGGTTTGTGCTACTTATAGTAGGCTATCACTACTAATAGCCAGAGACTAATAGCCTACTAGTAGCATAAGGGACGGACCATTAGAAAAGTGATGGGGGGGGG